CTGGTTACGAATATACGTGCTGGACATAATTATAAAGACACTCTGAAAACTGTCGTACTTTGCGTTCTTGTTGATGAAACTGTCCGAAACTTTGCGATCTATATAATGCGAATGTTAGCCTACCATGACCCCTCAAAAGGGCATCCAATTTTGTTGAGTTCGGAGAAAAATAGAAAAATTCGAAAAACCCCTTACTGAATGCTGGACAAACTTACAAAGACGGTTTTCTGAACGCTATCACATCCTCTAAAATTATTTTGTACAGTTACATACTAGAATATGAAACATTTGCAACATTTGCGACCTGTCATCCTTTCCAAAGAGTAGTGTTCACTGCATTTTTTGTTTTCAAAAGCACCAGAAAGTCTGCTTCAACAAACAGTTGGTTTAGGGAGCTTTCAAGCTCTTGTTGATGTCATGGATTTCACTGCCCTTACGGATAAATGAGGTCAAGAGCGCTTTCGTAAACTCTGCGTAATCGATGAGATGGACGGACAGACTCCAACCCCAACGTAAGTATGTCACGCATTTAAACCACAAAATTCAGTTTTGCAATGTTCATGAAGTGCTAGACTTCATTTATAATATTGCCTACATGGTGATGCAGCTTTCGCAGCAACTTACAGATTTTCCTTAATGATGCGGTCGCGATCTAGACCTGAAATACTTCCCATGGAAATTCTCTGCGAACAGTGGATTCGAGATAGTAATAAATCACACCATTTTCCTCTTTGTTTCATGTCATATTCTACCCAAAGAATGAGATTAGCTAAGATGTTTAAGTTCTGAGTGTCTCCTGTTCTATCTCATGGTCGGCTATGATCATGCAGGGTGCTCCAGTCAACATTCAGCGGATGACAACTGCAACGGAACCAAACCATAATGCCAACTTCGAAATTCATTCCTAACTATGCACACAGGTTTACTGTTGTACAGTCAACGTAATAGATACATTACAGTCTTTTCTGTTGCTTGAAATTTGAGTTTTGTGGTCTGAAAGCGTGACAAACCTATGCTGATGTTGAAGTCTGTCCGTCAATATCAGCGATTACGCAGAGTTTACCAAAGCGCTCTTCAACTCATTTATCCAAAAGGCTCAGTGGGTTCCGTGACTATCATTTGAGATAAATAGGAGCTTTAAAACTTCTCAAATCATGTTTGTTGAAGCATACTGACTTTCGGAAGCAAAAAATGCAGTGATCATTCTTCTTTGAGCAGGATGACAAGTAGCAGATTTTGCAAATGTTTCATATATCAGTATGTAACCGCACAAGAAAAAGTCAGGGGATGCGATATGGTTCAGAAAAACCAGGTGTCTCTTCATAAATTTGTCCAGCTTTTAGTAGGAGCTTGTCAAATTTTTCTATCTTTCTCCGCTCGAAATCAAAAAGACGTAAGCCGTTTTGAGGGATCATGATAGGCTAACATGCGCATACACAGCAGAATTCAGACAAATTCATCAACAAGAACGCAAATTACGAAGATTTCTAGAGTGTCTTTATAATCATGTCTACCTCTGTAGTGTCTACTTTGTTCACAACGGTCCCACAGTAGGGTTACGATAGCAGTACGGGTTAAGAAGGCGGTGTTAAGACTTGAGACTATCATTTTCGTAATCAGCGTACTATGACCTACTTATGTAAAATTTGAGCTTCCCGAGATGAACATTGCAAAAGATCAATAAAATCAATATAATCGAAGATTTTTGATGGTTAGCAAGCCTTTTGCTAGCCACGAATTTCTCGTGCATGTACACCTGGGCCGGTAGTAATCTACCCTACCTAGTGGCAGCAAAGATGCCGGCAAGTTGGCACACATCGCGGGAAGATGCCAACTCCGCCGGCAGCTTGCGGAGTGATTGTAGGTTTTAATAATCTTATTTAACCTTAGCACGCAATCATTTCGCACATTAAATTTTGATGACGCAGACAGCCGCAAAATTGCTACCTCGCGCGCGGTCAAACCTATGTGCGTTAACTTGAAGTGCCACTTTAACCATTCGACCATTCGGTCAGCCATTCCTGTTTGCACCAGCAACAGGACGAACGCGCTGGTAAATGGCTGCCTGTAAGAGGGATCGATACATTGCGTGAGAGACTTTGACCTGAAAGAACAGCTGATTGATATAAGCGAGAGAGGGGCGAAATCATTGCAAACGAGATTTATAAGGATTGCCAAAGAAAGAGGAGGTTTATGATTCTAAGGCATTACTGGAATTTTTCTCTGTACGAAAATCCTTGTTTTAAGAAAGAAAAACTCATATCATGAGAAAAATGATAGTTTTTTTGATGAAAAGTAGGATTTTTGAATTTTTCGCCTGACGTAAATTGCGTGATATCGCCGCAATTCGCAAACTCGCAGACGCCGTCGGCAAAGGTGCCACCACCTTGACGTGGTAGGGGCACGTCGAGATGCCGGCAGCTCCCTCTCTTAAAAGAGCACGCTATTTCCCGTGCTCTCTGACCTGCCGGCAGCTGCCATCTCGCGGATTTCGACGCGCTGCCGGCAGGTTGCCGGCAACTTACATCGCGAAGTTGCCGGCAGCTCCTTCTGCGCTTCCAGATATTTTCCTACAGGAGGATTTGTAGAACAGCAGATTTCATGGATTTGGATTTGGATTTTCTACAGAGTCTAGGCGGCATCTTTATCGACAAAATGTTTTGGAAATAGGCCTGGGACCGCCTAAATTTGAGGTTCACTTTCTGGCCACCTCACGGAAAAGGTGCCAGCGACCTGCCGACGAGACCTGCCGCCAGGTCGGGGGGATTACTACCGACCCTGAATTCTCAGAAACAGCATCATTCCGCGAATAATTTGAGCTAAAGTTTGTTTTATCTCTATCTACTTTATACCTACCGCAATATTACATTACAGTATCCCGATCCCGGACCACTCTTACTGGAGCTTCGCCTAGGTGCTCCCAATCATGTGCCAAAACCCCGTAGAATTCCATTGTAAACTGACAAAAATAGAGCTTCAAGAATCTTACAAGGGAATGGTCAGAAATCGAAGTGGCCAATCCATACAAGCTACATACCATTCGATGCAGCATAAAATGCTGATTTCAAATATGTCCTCCATATCTGCAGAGCGCCTTTGTAGGCGAAGTTATGAGCAGCTTTACTGCGTAAAAACTGCACATAGAAATTGCGAAATTAGGCACAATATTGCTTTTTCAGCTCACCTTTTGGTACGGGTCATATGAAGTGAACTAGTTGCACGTTTTGGTCCAACAATGAGCCGAGAATGGCTTTGTACGGCCAAGTTTGCACTTTACACGCACAATTTCTTAGCAAAATAATAGCCTTCAACGGCTCATAATTTCGTCCACAAAAGTGCTCTGCGGATAAGGAAGACAGATTTAGAGTCAGCGTTTTATGCTGCATCTGATGGTATGCAGCTTGTATGGTTTGGCCACTTCGACTTCTGACTATTCCCTTGTTAGGACCCACCGGTAGGTCGTATTATCGTGAATGTGTCAATCATTCCTGGATTTTGCGTTTACAGCATGCTGTAGCCAAAAACCTTTCTCTATTCTGCGGCACGTTTTTTGCACGACGGGAGCGGTTTTTATAAGAGAGGCAGAACGGATCTGTGGAAAAGCACCTGCGTGTCGCGCACATTTTGTCGGAAGCATACATTGTAATTTTTCCGGAGCCATAGTTGATAAAATCATATTACAGTCACTTTATTATTATCGAGCCAGAGCCAGCTTTATCTTTCTTCAAGTGGATCTGTCACCAGTTTGGCGCTGCGGAATACATGCGCAAATAATTCTGACACAGCCTGTGTATGCGCGTGCAAACTAGGGTAAACCGCGAATTTTTCAAAGCAAAAATTTGTGAGCGCATACCCTTCTGCTCCGTCCTGGAGCTAATTAGTCTACCCCGGGGCTAAAGGTGGCGCGCATGCGCTCCTTATCAAATTAGATGACATGTTCGACAATGGCATTTCCGTAAATCTTTCGCAAATTTACATAGATAGTTCTAAGCACCGCAAGGCATGTGAGCGCACTTTAAACACTACACTGGTTGGGAATTCAAGTTCTAAAGATAAGAATTTGAGCTTTTACAGGTCTGCGCAAAACTCGAAATCTTTGATTTTTCTTCTTGTGAGGTTGCGTTCGCACCACTCGTCCAATATTTTTCCTCCGATAAAGGCAATCGGCTCTCCCACCGCCCAATCGCTACCACAGCGCTGACCAGTCAGAGGCGGTCAATAATTAGGTTGCTATGGCGAGGGTGCAGAAGGGCCTTTGCTCAAAATCTGCTTGTAGGAAGACAATTACTTAGAACTAGCTGGCATACCCAGCTCCGCTCGGCCACGTCAATACATCTGTACGACGTTTCAGTAAACTACTTCCTTGTGCCAACTCCCAGCTCCGTAGCTCAGACTCTGTAAGAAGTTCATGAAAATCAATAAAGGTGATTGATAATTCTAGAAAGTAGTATGTTGTATTCAGCATGCTTACCTTTCAACTGTACGTCATACTTTGCAAAAATCTATAAAATCGATGAAGTAATCGATAATTTCAAAAACTGATATTGTATTAGGCAATCAGGATGCTTACCCGCTTGTGCCAACTCCCAGCCCCATAGCTCAAACTTTGCAAAAAATCGATAAAAATCGATAAAGTTGTAATTGACTGATGACGAAAACTGGCATACGACACCCGCCCCGCCGCGTTGTATGTGTGCAAAGTGGTCCGGATCGGTTCAGGAATGAATTTTCATTCGGAGCCTATGTACATACATACAGATAAACATATCCAGCTTCATAAATAAGATCCACCCAAAAGCTTAGTCAGAATGCGCGTCTGTGATGCGCTACTCTGCCCGATATTTACGAGCACTCACAATCGGAACTCTCGATATCTCGGTGCATCTCGCCATACATCTAGCAGAGCAACAGTCACAAAGTAAGAAACACTTCTAGGGTCATCTCTGAACATGGCATAGTGAAAGACTTTATTAATGAGAAAACGAATAAAACAGCCTCACAGAAAGACTAATTTCCGTCAACTTTGTCTGGCACAAGTACAGCAACAAAATGAGCTTAATTTAGATTGAGGAAACACAACGAAATATGGCAAAACTTAGTAAAAATAATGGCATTCTTTTTCGTCGCGACTGAGCCTCGGCTGTTTTTCTTCTTGTTGACTTCTTCGTCGATACATTGAGAATATTGTGCAGCAACATAAAACGATAACCAGAAGAGACAATGGTACAAAAAGAAAGATCCTGAAAAGGACACTTATTCAGGAGTTCAACGGAGTTTTTCTTATGGAGCTTAACAAATTTTATGGCTGCAAACTCGTTTGTTGAGCAACTGATCGACAATTCGTTGCAGATCTTGATATATTGAACAGTTTTAAAAGACTTCTCAAAACAAATTGTTTCATCAGACATTCTACACTCTGCACTTTATTTTCAAATCTGATGTGTATATAGCTAGCAGTGCCTAAAGCGACCACAATTTACTGTAATGAAAAACAAATCCCTGGTGTGATCCATTCAGCTGAATGTGCAAAGAAGAAAAGTTACTATTAGGTTGGCTGATAATGGGTCGTTCTGAAAGTGATGTCGCTTTTTTCAAACGTACGCTACATCTCGTGGAACGAAGAACTGTAAGAGATTCTGGTAGCATTTGATGCACATTTCATTCTCTTTCTAATGGTTATATAATCAGTGCACAGAATTTGCTAACTTGAAAAATTATCAAAATCTGCTACCCATGCTTTTTGAGAAGGCCAAGTTCCACACTTTATCTAAATTTTTATAATAAACCTCGGAAGGAGTCCAAGTAATGGATGGATAGAGCAACTACAGAAAACAGCACAACTTTTTCTGCTTTCCGAGCTCGTCATAATTGTATAAATTTTTTTGATGGAACCCCCGATGTGATCGAGGCATATGTGGAATATTATACTACTAAATACTTTCATATATGGAATTGTACATGAACCGAAAGTTCTAGAAAGGCTTTAAGTCCATTTATCTGCAGAGCATGATATGCAGGCGAAGAGATTTATTTTTCTTTTTTGAAAACACTTACTGGTTTTTTCGATTCACATTTACAACTGGAGCCTTTTCACAAAAAAAAAACACTTGTGTGAATCACGACTAGAATATTCTATTGCTTCATCTGAGCCTTCATTTTTGAGTTTATCTGTTCTCACCAAAGCAAAGTTAGATTTATGCACCACCTGTAAACTTCGTCAAGCAGCTTTTCGAAAACTTCCTTGTCATCGGAATTCCATATATGAAATATTTAGTAGTATAGCATTCCACATATGCCTCGACCACATCTAGCTACATGTCAGATTACACCAAGTCATTCGAGCAATGAACGGACAAGGAAAAAAGACTATTGGCCGCCAAATCCGACATGCATGAATGATTCTATGGAATCCTAGCATATGTCTTTCTATTTCTTCCAGCATATGATATGGTGTACAAATCAAGGTTGTTAAAATCAGCCAAACTTGCCTTACAGACTACAGTTTGATTATAGGATACTTTCTAGAAATGTCAATGAGAGCAAAATTTTGGAAAGATTGCAAGCATTCTGCATGTTACGCAGATAATTTAAATGAGACATATCTGCTAGCACTCTGCTTGCCCAAAGTATAACATCAAAATAGATTCCACTTTCAAGTAAGGACGATTGCGATTGCCACTCTAATAAAGTTCATTTTTACACGGCTTTCGGAAAGTCACAAAAGTTCTACCAAAATCTATAATCGGCAATTCTTACAAGGGGAAAATACTTGATGACTGTGGCCGTTCGTAATGAGACACATATCTCTCAAACTGCTTTCGCTATCTGCTAAATGATTTCGAAAGAATTTATAAGCTTTTTCGCAGAGTTGCACACGCAAGTATAGTCAGAATCATTAACCCATTGACGACGACGACTAATTTTGCGTGGCGGCGCTGTGGGACGACGCGATTTTGCACAACATTTGCGGCGCGGGAAAGTTTTGTGATTATTTACGAAATGTAAAAATGTTTTGTAAGCAATTACAGCCATCTTCTTGGACGCCGAAGTCTATAGGTTCCAATAGTGCAAAGAACTGGAAAAATTGGTGAGCTCTGGAAAAAACACTAAACCTGAAAAGGATATGATTTTGCAAGGTGTGTAGGCCACCGGTGGTCCACATCGTCCCTGGCGGCAAAAAGTGCGTCGGCCACCGGTGGTCCACATCGTCGTCAATGGGTTAATATCTGAGGTTTTGAAGGTGGATGCAATTGCGACAAATTACTCAAACTCAAAATTATTGTCGCCTTCTCTAAATGTTGTTCCGAGGAGCAAGACAAGAAATTTGTGCGGTGTTAATTTTAATTAATTGAAACAATGTAAATTACTGTAAAAAACGTTCATAACATTTTTGCACAATGGCTTAGCTAATGGCGAAACGGATTTGAATTCAGCGTTTGAAGATTGATGTGTGGGTATTTTTTCGTTATGCGGACCCATTGTCTCAAGGAAGGATATTGCTTCTATCCTTGTGCCATATTTGGTCCAGCTTCACAGGAAGGAGTGTCAACCTTCTGCCACGTGCAAAAAAGTTTGACATGTCGTCTACATGTTTAACAGGTTTCAAAAAGAATTTGTTTTAAGGGCCGGTCATACCGGTCAGCGATCCATCGCATCGCTGACTTTTCCAAAGGACAAGTGTTACAAGGCCGGAGATAACTGCGTATTTGTGCTGACTGTCCGGCGCGATGCATCGCGGGCCGTTTTCTACCCGGTCATACCGATTTGAGCGAAATCGCCGCGATCGTCGCTCATCCTAGCGAATTCGCGTCGCTCATTTCAAATGCGCGACGCGATGGATCGCTAGTATTGGGATTTCACTCCGAAGGGTTTTTGCAGATGTTTCTTTTATTATTCGCACTGTTTCTCGCCAAGCGAATCCAAATCTAGTTTATATCTCACTTTTCTGTGACATGAAGCAATTCAATCCTCAAGCAGCAGATGTTTCGCAAAAATTGAAAAGTTTTCGACATTTGACATCTTTGCTCTCATGTTTTGAAATGGCATGATTTATATCGTTGACTTCAGTGACAAATTCATGTGGATCGTTTGGCTGCAGTGCTAGTGTCCCCAGTCGTAAAATTTTGAAGGATGAAACTTTTCGATATTCTTTCGAATATGTATGTAAAGCTGCTGACTGGTTGAGTTCTTGACTCTTATGTATTTGTTTTTCCATGTGTTGAAGGGCAGTACAGATAGAGTGTGTTCGACATCTTCATAATGATCCAGCTTATATCGAAGCGGCACAACAAAGTGCTAGTGATTTTGGCGAACTCGTGGGGAGGTCAGTTCACTTAACTTCTCAATTCTTCTAAACTCGGCACTCAGATTTTAATCTTTCTCTCTCTGCTAACGCTGAACCTTATCATGTATCTAGTTGTTTTGATGTTCATCTCGATAATATATAAAGCGATTCTCAGTCTAAATACATACACCGCGCTGATAGGCTTCAAAAATCGAAACAATCAGAAGCGCGTCTCGTTTGGATGACATTGATATACGCACTATAAAGTTATTTCTCAACGAATTCGAATTATCAGGCGTTCATCCGTACGATAAGATTAAAGTTTTGCTCATTTTAAAAGGTTCTAAACATCTTTTTCAGCGTGCCGACTTCGCAAGATTGTCTGGTGAAATATTTAACGCTATCGCGAGATTTCAAGCTGATTCCGATCGAGAAGTTATCATTAGCAGGTCTTTCTTCATTGATTACAAGCTTCTGCTAGAAGTTTCTGGATTTTCCTTCGAGGTCTAGAATTTCAGAGCGCAAAGAAAACAATATAGCCTTCAATCAACTAGGATTAGATCTCCATCCTTAGACTGCGTTGAACAGGATAAGCGAAAATTTCTCTATACATCTTACTACAAACACAACAACGAGCAGGTAAACTTTGTTTTATTTATCTGCCTTCAGTTCTATCTTTCCTGTAGAGGAAGAGTTGAGAAAACTAGAATGTTACCTTGATGAACTTGCCAGACTCACTGGCTATACCTCCTTCGCTCATCGTGCTCAAAATGCCCTATTAGGAACATATGAGAATGCGCATGATTTCCTTAGGGGCGTAATATAGGTAGGTTTTTTCAGAAGCAGTATGTATAACTGTTCATCTTCATCCAATCGATTAGGCTTGTCAGTCTGCAGCAGAGCGAGAGCTATTAGCTATTTTGATAAATGCGCAAACAATGTGAAACTGATTTATATCATGCTTGATTGGCGAATAGGACTTCAATTATCTTACCGAAATCTACAAGGTTTCATCATGCTATCTTATGGCTATCAGTGCAGTTTATTTGTTTTTCCTGAGCTACCATATTTGAGAGCGTGCTTACGGTACCGCTCATCAACGAGAAATTCATAACTTCCTCATCCTTGGCAATGTTTCTGACCGGTTTCGGGAACCTTGTCATTAAGTTGCATGTGATACGCATGGAGGAACAACTTGTAGAAAAGGAGAATAGGTGCCTTGCCAAGATTCTGATAAAAAGAGCTCTGATGCTGTGTATCGCAGGGTGTCTATGATGGGGTATGAGTTGGCTCATGCAGTGCATAGTATGTTAGGACGAAGGAGATATCAAAATGTAGCAGGTGAAGCTTTGCCTCTCCACTCTAAATTGCATAATCTCTGATTGAATTTGAGTTTTTAAGGTACTCGCTGCTCACAAAATTTTCCGGAAGTTCCATCCATTGGATGTAAATACATGGTATTTCTTCTAGCTATGAAATTTGTAAGATTCGTACCCACAAAGCAAATTGCTATATTTTGCTGAACATGCCCTTTTCGAAAAACATATGTACAAACTAAGCACAAGCTATGGAATAGCCAGCAACACAAAAAGTCCCAGTTCTTTCTGTGGGTCACTGAATCTCCGCAGTTCTTCTGCACAGAAGCCATCTAGCTCTATGGAGAGAATAAGCGTCGGAGCTCCCATAAGTGGAATCGTACGAACATAGCACTATAATCGCTGACGACGACATCCCACCGCTTCGACAAAGACTAAGCTAGACATCTGCCATCCTTTACTATGAGCAAGCTCAGGATTGTGAAGTGAACGTGTATCATGTGATGTAGTGTGAGAATGCACACATCGCCGCGGTGGTATGCCCCCTTATTCGAGCGATCGGCGATCCGTCGCGCGTTTTCGTCGCTAGTTTCCACCCAGTCGCGACGATCATCCATCGCGGCGATAGATCGCTGACCGG